TTCAGAGGACTAGACGGTCAGTGTCTGTAATGAATGAGTGGTCATTGTATAGACCTGTCCTCTTATGTATGAATGATAGGTATGTTAGGGAACGGTAAGTAACTAAAAATATGAAGTGAATGCACTAAAAATAGATATAGTAGTTAAATACAATACAAATAAATGATAAAATTAAGGCTAAAAATATAGTAGTATTTTAATCCTTAACAATATAAACTGAAAAACTTTAATATACTTTTATTTTTAAATATAATAAATTTACTAACTATTGACTAATATTTTTTTTGTTTACTTTAATGTTATCCATACAATAGTTGGTGACATTTACCGGTATATCTAATTTATAATAGTCTATGTATAACATATGTATGCCTAAGGTTTGACAATTTATAGTTATTTATGAAAACATAAGTTTTACTGAATTAATAAAATATGGCAAATGTCTACTAAGTAACTAAACATTAGTTATAGACATTTCCTTTAATTATAATACTTGAGACTTTACTATTACTACACTATTATTATTATTATTATTATTATTATTATTATTATTATTATTATTCAGTAGTAGTATTATAATTATAACTAATACTATTATTATTGTTATTATTATTATCATTACTACTACTACATCATTATAATAATAATAATAATTTTATGTAATATTGTTTTATTCATTTCTAATAACATTATTGACTGTCAATAATGAAAAAAAACTCTTTTTTCACGGATAGTGTTGACATAAGGCCTAACTCTATTGGAAAACAAACTCATGTTTTGTTAGCATCCCTGAGCCCATGTGAAAGGCTTTTCTTATTGATAATGGCTTTCCATTAGCTGTCATTTTAATCATTTACAGCCAAATATAATGAAAGCATTTCTTCCGTTTTTGTCACTCATTCAAGACATCCATTTCGTCGTTTCCTTTGACTCACACACTCTTATTCTTGTATTTTATTTATACAAATAAAACCATTCGTTTGACTCATTACTTCATCACTTTTTTATAAGACTACTATATTTTCGACAACATTTAGAAAATTACATAAAAATCTTTATGAAAGACAATATTCGTACAAAAGCTTTGTTTTCTACAATTATATCACTGAAAATTGCAATTTCGTCTAAAAATAAAAAACTTTTATATAGTCTTATAATATTAATATATATTATATATACAGTATATATATAGCTATATCCTTATTAAGAACTTATTGTGTCTTTTATTAACACAGAGTTATAATCCATTTGCTGTTTTCATCACATTTTTCTGTGACTTTTCTTTCTCTGTCTATATTATGGACCAATAATTTTCAGTATCTTTTAAGAAAATTACTCTTCCTTTTACTTTTTATATTCATTAATAGACAGTTCACTCTCTGTTTTATAATTTGTTTTACTTAATGATTGCATACAATGACAGCACAGATAATACTATTATATTTGAAAGTTTTGTCTTTTATTATTATTATTATTAAAAATTTATATCACAAATGTTAAGTTAATTTAAATAAATATACAATTTATAATATAAGAATATAAATTATAATAATTGTTTCACAGTTTCATTACTCTTGAAAGAGTCTTTACTTTTATTTTATTCATTGAATTAATGAAATAAATATTATTATCATTAAATAAAAAAATAAAATTAATTAAACTAACAAAAACTAATGTTTAATTACTATTTTTAAAAAATTTTATTTATTAGATAATCAATTTTAATAATGTTTAGAGTAAAAATGTGAAGATTTCATTATTTAAAGAAAAACTTAATAAAAGTAAAGAAATAGTAGTAATTAAAAAACAAATTAAACAATTTTTTATTTAAAAATAGTATCATTTAAAATAAAGTAGAGTTTTAAATGTTTAATTTGCGCGAATCCTCCGAAATGATAACAAATGATTGTTTCGACAATTTAACAAAAACTTTCATTAAATATCCAATTAATTGTATAAAATGCTAATACCATTCATTGCCAATGACTTTATTTGAATGGTTCACGAAATTGCCTTCAAATGACTTCTAATGCCATCAATCCGTATAATACTTTATTGACTTTTTTCTCTGTTCTGCAAATAAAATCGATATCCAAAGAAAAAAGAGACTGACATTATTTGAGATCGTGTTTTGGATGTAATGGACAGTCATTGTATGCCTCTATAAGAGAGAGAGAGAGAGAGAGAGAGAGAGAGAGAGAGAGAGTGAGAGAGAGAGAGAGAGAGATCTGGTAGTAGTAGCCAATGAATAACAAAAAAGTCAAATTCTCATATAAAACTCTTTATTATAGTTAAGATAGTACTGTACAGTAATACTCGTTTTTAGTGACTATCGCAAAGTATTGTGAACTGAATTCTTGAAATACATCTATAAAGTTAGTCAAACAATCGTTGCATTGAAATGTCAGTGAAGAGAGAGAGAGAGAGAAAGAAAGAGAGAGAGAGAGTATGAGTGGCAATAAAGTTGATAAAAGCTAACAAAAGAAGAATTGGTATTTAATACTCTAATTTCTATTCAGTTTGAGCGCCACTTCTTCTATATGTGTTTAAACTGTATTGTCGTCGTCGACCTAATAGTGCCATCAAAACAAACCTCACGAATGTCGCCAAATGTTTTGTTTTGTTAGTAAACTATAAGTTGATCATAAAATTATAGTCAAATATACAACTTTTTTATAAAAAAAATTAAACAATTTTTCAAACATTTTCAAATATTTAAACATTGTGTATTTAAAAAAAATCTCATTAATAAATACTGTAATAAATGATTAAAATTTAATTAAAAATATTATTCATAGTGTATTGATGAGTCATAGATTATTTATATTTTATCAAAATTAATTATTGAAAAGATTTTAATTATATGTTATTTTTTAGTCACTAATTTTAAATTTAAATAAGCAATAATTTATTATAATTAATAATTACTTTTTAATTATTTTATAAACAAGTTAAGCCAATAAGATTTCTTTTTATAATTTTGATTGTAAATCTTTCAAATAATAATTTTATCTATGATATAAAATTATAAACTAGTTTAATATATTAAGGTTACACTGTATTAAAAACAGTATACTAAATGTTAATTATATATATATTTATTATTATTAAATTACATAAATTAAATGTTTAATGACAACACGACATTTTATTAGTTCAGATTTTTTACTTACATCTGATAAACTATTATTTTTTCAATTAAGTGATTCAGTTTACTTGATATTGACAACTAAAATATAAATGTTTATATGAAATGCATGTAATATTTTTTTTGTGAAATTTATTTGAATTTTTATTCATAGTATCATATAATAGTAATTAGTATTCATTTAGATATTGTAAAGAATATTCTGCAAAATAACTGTTTAACTGTGAACTCTAGCGGAGATTTTTACAAATAATAGAGAAATGTTGAGATTTTTGTTGTTGTGTCAAATGATTGATGATTTGATGTCCTTTTTTTAATGTCACATACTATCAAATGATGGATTAGTTGTGCAATATATATATATATATATATATATATATATATTGTTATATATATATAATGTTTCATGTATTATATAAGTTATTATCATCAGATTTTTGCATTCAAACTTAAAGCTTAATTCTCTATATATACTGTGTATAGTCTATCTATTGCTAACAACAATATATTATTAATCTGATAACCGATTTCGTACTTAAGTCTACTTTAATACCAGTCAAATAACTAACAATAAATATTTTGCTATAATTATTTGTCAGATAAAATTAATTACAATAATTAATTACAAAAATAATAATTATATATAGATTATATTTATTTATAACATAAAAATTATTACTTAATTATAAATTGTTATATAAAATCATAAAATTATAAATTTAATATTGAAATATTTTATGTTAAAGAATTTTATATAGTTTTATTGTTATATTAAAAACTTTTATGTTATAAAAGATTAATTTTATTTCAATATATTTAATTTAGAGTTGGATTTAGTTAGAGATATTTATAAGTTAAAAGTTTTTAAAAAATCTGAATAATAATATAATTTAAATAACAAAATACTAAATATACAGTATATATAATTTTATTGTTATTTAAATATAAACATTATTTCAATCTATGGATTGAAAAATATAGTAAAAGCTTTAAGAATTGGATAATAAGTTTGTGATCCAAACAAATGAGAGTTATGTGTAAATTCCTTTTGACTGTAAATTGAATCCATTTATCATTTCAAGTGTCAAATTCAATGATAAATATTGTTTGTTTTTTTCAATACTCAATATAACTTTACAAATAGTTGAATCCAATTAAATGAATAAGATATGTATGATGTTTACATATTACGGTATATATAGCATAGTATAGTACAGTAGATCTGTATAATTAAAAAATATATGAAAAATACTACAAAAAATTATACATAAATTTCTATTGCATAAGATGTTTGTTAAGAGAAATCAATATAAAAAATGTTTAGTTTTCTCTCTTTCTCTTTCTCTTTCTCTCTCTCTCTCTCTCTCTCTCTCTCTCTCTCTCTCTCTCTAATAATATCTCTTTCATTACATTCAAGATCACTGAGTCTGCGTTTGTGTCGACAGTTTTCTGTGTGAAACTGTATGTTAAGTCCCTGTTTTTGGTCATACAGTTAACGGCAATAAAACTGTGAGTTTGAAACCACTTTAGTCTACTATTCTCGCATTTCATACCAAATATATATCATTTATAATTTAGATTTTAGTATTAATTTTCAGTTTGTGAAATATAAAAGTTATGTGATTAAATCAATTTTAACTTTTATTTCATATTATTAGTAAATAAATAAATAAATTGTAAAAATATTATTTATATAAAAAACTAAAAATTTAATGAATTCATGAACATTCAATTATCATTTTAATTGAAGAGACAATAAATGTGTAATTTTGATATTAGTCTTTAGGCTGATTGCAAAACTAAATAAAATATTAATTATATTATAAGTATATTATACTTAACTTATAAAATCATATTATTTATCGCTTATCTGTTGAATAAAAAAAATAAGGTAAGAATATTCTGTATTTTTATAAATGTTATCTATAAATAGTATTTATTTTAATTAAAAATATTTGACATAAAAAATATATTTTGTATACAAATATTAACATGATTTTTATTAAAAAAATTTTAGTTAAACTAAAAATATTGTTTTATATAAATAAATATTAATATTTCTGTATATAACATTTTCTAATACTTAGAGGCAATTTTTAACAATTTATCTATATTTTATAATACTAATAATTTAATTTTTAATTGAAATTTATAAAAATTACTTTTATTATATAAATGTAATATAAATAAGAATTAAATGTTTAATTTTATTATTAATTTCATTAAATATTATTTTTTAAATTAATTTAACTTTAATATAATTAAATCATAAAAACGAATTAATTAACAGATTTGACAAAGATTTATACTTTAGTTTTGCTACCATTTATAATATAGTATTAAATTCGCATTAATACCATTTGATAAATTAATTCAATTATTTTTTCTAATTTGAGTGAAATTATTTGTACAATTGTAGGAAATATTTCATTTAAGATTACTAACAATATAATAAAGATTTTATGTATAAATAGTATAATATAAATACAATATCAAACAAAAACAGTAGTAACAGAAATTTCATATAAATTTTTACTTAACTTATTACCTAACACTTAGCTTATATAAAAGATTAATATTATGAAAAAGATCTGTATTATAGACTTAACAATATAAAGTATGTTTGTGTCAATATGACTAAAATAGTTAACTAAAATAAAATATATTAGTGTATTTCGATGTTTTTTAAATATTTATTATATAGTATTATATACTATTTAATAATCGATAATGTTTATTTATTTTATTATTATAAAATGATTTTTTGTTTGTTTATTTGTTATTCTCTTTTTTCTATAATACATTTGATAACATTAAAACAATGACATAGTTTTACTTTATATATTTTACATTTATATAATGACTCTTAAAATTAAAGAGTTTAGACTAAATTCTGACACTTTAATAGTGTGTATATAAAAACAAAGTATGCAATAAATTCTATTCATTTTATTAGCTTTATGTCCAAAAATATAACAAAAATATTGTTAGGATTTTAAATCTTAGACTCGTTTATTGCATACAAAGATTTGTGTCATATTTTAGTATATACAGTAAATTACAGTATATATTGATACTAATAATAAAAATAAGACTAAATTTATATCCATTTGTGTATAAACTTAATATATTTTAATATATATATATATATATATATATATATATATATATATATATATATATATATATTGGATATAATCACATTTTATTTAATTTTCAGTTTTTATAACACATACTGTATATTTTGTATTAAATACAAAAATTTATATAAAATTCAAAGAATAATCAATTTCATGTATACAACACACACTTATGTGTGTATCCTATGATATACACAGTAAACATATACACCAAATATATAACAAAAATTCTTAATATACTTAATGTATTTTGAAATAAAAATGAAACATATATTTTGTTAGTGTATATGCATATATAATATAAGTATAATATATTTATATAATAATGTACTCTTTTTATAAAAATTGAAAATTTTATATATATTATTGTTTGTATTATTGTTGTTGTTTGTGACCCAAAAAGTTTTTTCAATTCAACACTTTCTTTTTTTATTTTCTTTATATATGGTTTTATATATATAAATATATATATACTCTTTATCTCTTTACTCAATCACTTACTCACTCATTCAATAATTTTATTTTGATATCTATTGTTATAATATATTTATTGCAAATACTAAAGTTTCAGTGATCGTCACTCATTTTTTAAGAAAATAATTTTTTTCCAGACAAACAATATTTTTCAGAGATTTTATTATAAATATATATATATTTATGTAAAGTATTAAAACAGTATAAGATAAATATAACCGTTAAAAATCTTTTTAAAACTTGTGTACAATAATAGTAATCGATCTCTTATTTTGACACAAAATGTGACTTCATTTGTGTCTTTTATTTATTATAATTTATTGCAAACTTTGTTTTTTGTTTAAAAAAAGAGTTTAGCATTTTTACTATATTATTATTATATTCTCTTTTTTTCTCACTTTATTTAATTCAAATCTATAATATATTTGTTTTTTATATAAATTATATATGTATTTTATATATTAGTAAAGCTACATAAAATATTGTCTTTATTAATAGTAATGATATCGTAAATATATTTATTTTAAAATCTTGTTATGATTTCAAAAAATAAATAAAATAAAAGAATACATTTGTTTTATATGTATTATTATAATCAATAAATTTTTACTAATTTCATGTCATTTCATTTCAAATGTTTTATCAATTTTCTATTATATTAATAGTCTATATTTTTACGGTTTTAAAAATAAATTTATGTATATTTTCAAATCTGTGCCTCAAATTTAATTACTATAATCAAAGTCTCATTTAGTAGAGAGGAAAAGCCTTTCAATCAATTTTCATATCACAAAATATATGGAAATGTTTTGCTAATCATTAATTATATTTCCGCTATTTATGAGTATTAATATGATATACAAGACGAGAGAAAAGACAGACAAACATTTAGTTAAAATTATTTATGCAATCATTTTCTGGACTAAAAATCATTAAATAATTTAATTATTATTATTTATATAAAACTGATTTACTAAATAAATAAAATTAGGTTTAAATTATTTTCATTAGAATAATATTTATTAGTATTAGTATTACTGTATTAACATCCAAATAGAGATTTGCATAAATTATAAATAATTGTAAGTTAAAACTTAATCTTTTTATATGTTATATATTTTTAAATTAAATTTGCATTTAAAAAATTAAATTAACTTAAAATGATGGCCATAAATTTTTAAAAAATATATTAATGGTTGAAAAATCTCTAATGATTACTTATAAATATTCTTGTATGTTTATTGTAAATATATATATAATTCATATATATATATATATATATATATTGATAGTTCTAGTTATTATATATGTATTGCTTGTTATATTTTTTATACAAAACATGATATAAATCTTTTCTATTGTTAAATGTGTCACTGTATGAAAAAATTGAATTCAATTTATGCATTGAAAGGCAAATAACACCGAAAAAATCAAAGAATCGACAGAATATTCCTTGAAATATACATTCTGTCTCTTTTCAAATGTCTGATTGCTAGCCATACCATACATACTATACATACAGTTATGAATACAAGGTTTCAATGAGTCAGTCCTTTTGCTTAGGGCTGTACATCACATCAGTTTCTGAATAAATACAAACACATACATACAGTATATATAGTCATATATATATATATATATCTGAACACATTTTTATACAAACAACATATATCAATGCCCTCACAGCTATTGATTTTGAATACATCATTGAGTAAAAAAAGAGACATAACATTAAGATTGTAAATAAAAAATGTTTGTATGATTTTCATGTTTACTAATTTGGCATTTTTATGAAAATTTGTATTCAATCTTTACAATTGATTGCATTATATAAATCATAAACTAGACATACAGTATAATATATGAGCTTTGATTATTACTATTAGAGTATATAGTTATATAGTAATATTATTTTACATGAATATTATAATTATTATAATGTAAAAGCATTGCTAATATAAGATATTATATTTCAAGTTTTATTATTTTTATTAATTTTGATAAACATATAACAACCCATAGAGTATATAATTTTATTATATTTTGCTAATGGTCTAGAAATAATATAAAATTCAATAATGAGCGGAACATATTATACAAAATAAAATTATAATATAAAATATAAAAATTTTATGAAATATGATAAACAAACAAATGATAATAGCAAAAAAACTATAGATATAATAAATCTATCGTTTTTTAGTTAAAATATATACATTTATACTAACTATACATATTTATATGCAACAGAATAATTTCTATAACTATATTGAATTTACAATTGTGTGTATAATGCAATGCAACAGAATTTTGTTAAATTTTTTTTTTATTTTCAATGAATATTTTCTATCTTTTTTATTTAAACTCTATTACAAAGTTTTCATATTTGATTTGAAATGTCTTATTGTGCATTTGTGAATATATATATATATATATATATATATATATATAAATTTATATTACACATTATAAACTGTACAATCAAATATAAAATATATTTATACTAAATCTAATGCTAAATATTTTAAAAGCTAAAATTTTTATGCATTTTAAAAAAAATTATTGAAAGATACAAAAAATATATCTATCGATTGATAAAAGTAAAACTGAATCAGTAATGTATTTAATATATTACTTATTTTGATGGCAAACGTTAAAAGAAAATGAATGCATAGAAAAAAGTTATGTAAAAATAGTACTCTTTTTGAGTGTAATTTAAAATTAAATTTTTATTATTCTTTACAATATATAGTTCTATTTTGTGTACAATTTTTCATACTTTATATAAAGACCTTTTTTTATTAAATAGTTTTTTAGCCAGATTTGAAAAGTATAAGCAAAAATATTTGGTTATATTAAGTTTCATTGAATTAAACAGAATTTATGAGATTTATAAAAAAAATTTGAATAAAAAATTATTTAAATTTAATGCGGTTTTTGTATCATATAAAAAATATATCACAGATTTTTGAATATTTTTATTCCATATTCAAATTGATTTTTCATCATTATTTTTGCATATATAACTTTATAATATACTAATTTTTTCCAATAAAATTAAATGAATAATTTGACCATGATCTATTAATTTTTTATATGTTATATAGACATCGTAATTGTTGTTTATGTAATTATTATCAAATAAAATTTATATTAACATAGATAAGTAATACATTACAATCGGATTAATATTATATTATGTAGCGTAATATATGTTCCTATATATTCTATAATATATGAATAACACAAATAAATTATTATAGTTAAAAATAATAAC